CCTCAATAACACCAGTCCTTGGCCTTCCTCTCCAGGGAAAGTGGAAGCCCAGCACGTGCTGGCCAGTGCACCAACGGACCGGAACCTCTGTCACTTCCGGGTGAGCCGGGGCCCAGCTCTTCTGAACTGAGGCTCCTTCCAGGGACCCAGCGGGGCTCTCGGCTCCTGCCCCTCTGAGACACTTCTTGAGGCAGGGAAGTCCTGCCTGCATAGCTAAGGTTCGAGGCTGGCTGTGCTGGGCTGGGGAAGTGGAGGTCAAAGGCCAGGAGGAAAGTCCAGGTTGTGGAGGGCCATGGCAGAGTGAAGGGCTGTGGGTGTGTGTGCGTGTGTGCGTGTGCACGTGTGTATGTGCACGTGTGTGTGCACGTGTGTATGTGCACTGTGTGCGCGCATGCCTATGCTGTGGTGGGCAGGGATGGTCGTGGGCACTCACGGGTTGGAGAGCTCGCAGAGGTGCTGGCATCAGGGAGTCTGTGAGGCTCAGGGTTGGGTCCTGAGCAAGAGGGGTGGCCTGGGCGAGCCCGCGGCATTGGGCTGGGGTGGTGCAGGCATTTGCCACGGGAGAGACCCACGGGAACCAGGGGAGTGCAGGGTGGCCTCCAGCCAGAAGGGCCGAGGTCCAGGCAGGCGCCCACTTACCCCGTCCTGGCCCCTGCGTCCCCGGCACAGGCTCTGGGCTGCCAGACCACCCATTCCAACCAGGAGGTGCTTCAGAGCTGCTCCCTCGTCTTCTTTGCCACCAAGCCCCACGTCTTGCCCGCCGTCCTGGCAGAGGTGGCCCCTGTGGTCACCGCCGAGCACGTCCTGGTGTCTGTGGCTGCCGGGGTTCCTCTCAGCTCCCTGGAGGAGGTGAGTGGCCCATGGGAGGAGGGCGATGAGGTGTGACCTCAGACCAGCGCCAGCCTGGGCTCAGCATGGCAGGGACGGGTGGCAGCCAGCCTGCAGAACGGCCAGGCGGCCACGGGGCCTGGGGTTAGGGCTCCTTCTGGCGCCACACCAGGGAAGTGGGAGGGAGCCTGGCTGAGGTGTGGCCTGGCTCTCTGACCACAGCCTCTCTCTGGCCAGCTGCTTCCTCCGCACACGCGGGTGCTGCGGGTCTCCCCCAACCTGCCCTGCGTGGTCCACGGGTGGCAGCCAGCCTGCAGAACGGCCAGGCGGCCACGGGGCCTGGGGTTAGGGCTCCTTCTGGCGCCACACCAGGGAAGTGGGAGGGAGCCTGGCTGAGGTGTGGCCTGGCTCTCTGACCACAGCCTCTCTCTGGCCAGCTGCTTCCTCCGCACACGCGGGTGCTGCGGGTCTCCCCCAACCTGCCCTGCGTGGTCCAGGAGGGGGCCATGGTGCTGGCCCGGGGCAGCCACGCGGGGAGCAGCGAGGTCGAGCTCCTGCGGACTCTGCTGGAGGCCTGCGGGCAGTGTGAGGAGGTGCCTGAGGCCCAGGTGGACGTCCACACAGGCCTCAGTGGCAGTGGAGTGGCCTTCGTGAGTGTTACCTGCCCACCCCCACCCCCACAGGCCAGCCATCAGCCAAGTCCCTGTGGCCACTCCTACCCTCAGATGCGACGGCGTGGTCCCTGCTGCCCATGAGCCCGGCTCCCCCCAGTCACTGCCCTCCTGGGCCTCAGCTCTGGGCCCTGCCCTGTGGCCGGTGCCCTGGGCCGGCTCCTGAAGGTCCGAGCCTTTTCCCGCGGGGGCTGCGCCCAGGGGAGCGTTGGCTCTGACCCCGCCGCCCCCACAGGTGTGCGTGTTCTCTGAGGCCCTGGCTGAAGGCGCCATCAAGATGGGCATGCCCAGTGGCCTGGCTCACCGCATCGCCGCCCAGACCCTGCTGGTGAGTGACTGTGGCCCGGGACCAGGGAAAGGGGTGGGCCTGGGGGCCTCCCGGAGCAGAGGGGACGCGTGGCAAAGCTGCACAGTGCGGGGAGGGAGAGGGGTTCCTCTGTCCCCCGTCACTGCCCCCCTGCTCCTCTCCCAGGGGACAGCCAAGATGCTGCTGCAGAAGGGGCAGCACCCGGCCCAGCTGCGGACGGACGTGTGCACGCCGGGCGGCACCACCATTCATGGGCTTCACGCCCTGGAGCAGGGCGGGCTGCGGGCAGCCACCATGAGCGCCGTGGAAGCCGCCACCTGCCGGGCCAAGGAGCTCAGCAGGAAGTAGGGTCCCAGAGCAGCCCTGCCCCCATGCCCTCTCCCAGCCCCTCCCGGAGGACTGCTTCTCTGACCCCTGGGGCCTCACGGCTGTGCCCTGCTTCCCACACGGGGAATGCGAGGGGCAGGACCGGAGGGACCCTGAGCGTCCATCACCTGACCACCACCCAGGGGCCGTAGGCTCCGAGGCCTGAGCACTGGTGGTGCTGGTCAGGAGCCCGTGGCCTGCCGCTTGGCAGAGCAGGAGCAGAGCCCCAGGCACAGGAGAGCTTGTGGGGTGGGGACATAGGATCTGCACGAGACCTGCTCCCCTAGTGAAGCCAGTCTGTCCTGTTAGTGGGGTGGCCTGGGGCCTTGAGGGGGCCTTGTGGGGGAGGGCAGCATCAGGGTTGGAAGGATGGGCCTTGGCCAGTGGGGACCACACACTGGCTTCAGCTGGCATGCCCCCCCCCCGAGACCCCAGGCTCCTGGCAAGGGGCAGGTGTCGCTGGCTCTGGTGAGCCTTCTCCGTCAAGTCCTGAGGTCCCAGGCCTCTGACTGCAGGTCCTGGCCCTCCCCATGTCCCTGAACAGACTGTCCGGCTGGGCACTGGGGCGAGGCGGGGCTGTGGGGCCTTTGGTGGGGGTGGCCTGCGGCTCTGCCCCCAAGGCTCACTGAGGCCTCCCGCCCGCCAAGGCCCCAGAGGCTGGTGCTCCCCTGGCTTCCACCCGGTTCCCGCTGCCACCTACCAGCGAGGCCTCAGGGAGGTCACCAGGAGGGCGCTGGGGCCCTCCCTATGCAGCAGCCTCCCGCCATCCAGGCAGCCCCAGGCGGTCCCTCCTCCCAGGCCTCCTCCACCGTTCCTGCCTCTGGTCGGAGGGTCTGCCAGAGTCCATTATCAGAGGAGGGCTTTCTCTACTGTGAAGTGGGAATAAAGTCGCTGTCCTGTAGCACCGAGTGGCCGGTACTTAGCAGGAGGCGGTAAAGCCAAATCCCTGGGCCTGGCAGCGGTGACTCCCGCCGTCACCCCGGCACCCAGCCACACATCGCCTCACAGTCCTGGGGCCCAGGGTGGGCTCGGCCCAGCAGCCACTCCCTGAATGAGGTCCTTGGTGAGCCCCAGCCCACCTGGAGGACACATGGATTCAAGGGGGGCAGGGTCGCAGCCCAATCCCTGGCCGGCCAGGTGTCTTCCCTTGTCCCACAGCTAACGGCTTCCCAAAGAAACCGGGGCATGTGATGGTTTCTTTGTTCTGTGTTGTCCCATTTTCATACCCTTCCACTTTTCAGCATATGAAGTGTTGTTTTT